TTTATCTTGTTTATTATTTGTTTTTCTTTGTATCTTTCTCTTTCTAATTCATTTTCATTGGTATATCGTTTACCATTATTATTATATCATTGTTGTTATTATGCCATTACTTTTTTATATAACATTGAATTTCTATTTTTATTTTCTTTTCTTTATAAGACTCAAATGTTTTACATAATAACCACTCAATAACATTTGTTGTATTTCTTGCATTGGAAAAGTGTTTATAAAATGACAGACTTAAATAAAAAAAGTTGAACGAAGCAATTAGATTTAAAATTCAAAGTAAAATAAAAGATGAAAACTTGAGTAACCATAAAATAAAAATCTATTAGGATGTAAATAAATGAGTTGTTAACAACACAAATAATATCTTTTTGAAATGACTTTTTCAACGAATTAGTTCAAAATGAGTTAAAAGAAAAAACCCTAAAACAGAAACTTGATTGATTTTTAAGAGAAAACTAAAAAAGAAATATTGTAATACTTTAATAAAAGGAATGAATGAAACATCAAAACAGCGTCAATGGATTGACAATAACACAACAAATATACAAGGATGGAGTGTAGAAGTAATTGGTAATTATCAAGAATCGTTATATATACCACATATTATTGATATTAAAGAAGGAATGAGTGAAGAAGAGAAATTAAAAACTGAACAACAAAATATAAAAGAATTAATAAAAGGTGTTGAGTCATTGATTCAATACACAAACAAACAGATAGTGGACCAAAGTAATAATGAAACATTTAATAATGAAATAAAGAACTTAATTAATAAATTTAATTCAATAATAAGACATCAATTCAATCAAATTAATGAATGTCAAATAGAATTAATACAAAAAAGAATTCAAAATAATATCATGAGAATGAAAACAAAAATGGAAGATGAAATAAAAAAATACTCTGATGCAATTTCTTCAGTAGAAAAATTAGTAAAAATATCTACAGTTGAACCAACAATGAATGTTGTTGAACAATTTAATAATACTTATGTTTTATGGAAGCCAATGACAGAAAAAATTGCATTTAGTTATACTGAAAGGTATGGTGTCTTAGATGAATCACAAAAAACATTGTCTTGTGCATTAGATAATTGGGAAAAAGAAATTTCTTTGAGAGGATATCTTATTCAAGCAGTTCATACAGGTTCAGAAAAAAGAATTACTGGTATTTTTGAAGGTCATGAAGAACAAATACTTCATTTAAAATTTGATATTGGATTATTATTAAGACTAATTTTATGTTTATCTAAATCACTTTCATATGATGGAGATAAAAGAGTTTGTTGATTCTTTAAGAATAGTATAATAAATAAAAAAATTAATATTAAAGATAAATATTATTATTAAATGTCTTAATAAAATAATTCTAGATAAAAAGGAAATTGATAGCGTTGCATTACAAGTATTTAATTCAGTAAAACTTGAAATAAAACAAAACATTGAAAAGTCTCAACTTCAAAATACTGAAATAACTTTACAATTATTAAACTCTCTTGAAGAATTAATAGCTTCAATGCATATAAAAGAAATACCAAAACATATTGATGGGTTTTGGGTTGAAGTTAATCATATTCCGTTTAATGCACAAACAGATGTTGTAGTTGGATTATTTAAAAAAATTGGAGTGATAATGAATGATGTGAAAATAATTAATGGAAAATGTAGAATTCAATATAAAAATCTTAATGATGCATTAAACGCATGTAAATTAGATAACAGAGCAATTAAAAATACAACATCTATTTTATCTGTACGTCTTTTACAATAAGTCAATATTTTTAGTTTTTTATAATTTTGAATTTGTTTGTTCATAGAAATTGATTAGAAACTAACACATCTTCTGTATTATTTTATTTATCCCAGAAAAATTAATAAACAAAAGTTATATTATCATTAATAAAATTCCTTAAAGTTAAAAAATATTTTTTTCTGTGTGAAATAACTATATCATACAATTGTTTCAATAAAAAATAAATACTAAGTAATTATCTAATATCCAATGTATAATACACTTACATATTAATATAAAATTTCTTTTGTTCTTGAATACTAAAAATATTCTATTCATTCAAAAAAAAAACAATTAACCTGAATAAAACAAAACTAGTTTTTTAAAAATATGAAAGATTTAATGAAATATTTTTATTATTTTTTTAAGCGGAAATGAAATAACAAAGATATTCTTAATAGACAAAGAATAAAAATAACAGAAAATATAAGAATATACTCACAAAGAGGTATATTACACACTTTCTTTTATTATATTTTTTTATTATTAAACATAAGAGAAAAACATTAAATCAATAATAGAAACTAGCAAAATTATTTCAACAATGAAGAAATATAATCAAAAATTGAAATACTAAATTATTTACCATTACTTGAATGTGTTGATATTTGTGAAAAGAACCTACCAAAAGCACAATCAACAATTCTATAAACAATATCTTTTTCTTTTTCTATCTCAGTTAAAGGAATATCAATTAGTTCATCATTAATTGAACTTGTAATATTTTTCTTATTATTGTCTCGATGTTGAAATATGAAATCAATAAGTAAAGAATCTAAAATTTTACCAGATATATCAGGAAACATTAAAGAACTTATTTGATGAAATTGGAATAAAACAGGCATTTCACGTTTAGTATTTAAATCTTCAAACTCACTTCTAAATTTTTGATTAATTTGCTGACCAATTAAACTAATATCCTTCCAAGTTTGATAATCAACACCAAAACCAGAAATTGACTTTATTCTTTTCATTTTAATAACATAATGTGTCGCTCTAGTACTCTTGAGTGATGTATTATAACCAATACTTTTAAGCATTTCATATAAGAAATTATTTGTTGCTGAGACAAGATTTCTTTTTCGATACTTTGTTTTACGAGAGTCAGCAATACTAGTAATAGTCTTTTCTGCTTCATTAATTTCGTTATGAATTAATTCAGAAAATTTAAATCGTTGTTGGCCAATATGAATTTCATCTATTGTCATAAATAAAGCTGCTAAACTCTTTGAATTTTTTTGTTTAATTTTCCTTGGTTTAAGTAAAACAAAATTGACTCCGTGTCGCATTAGTAATGCCATGCAAAGACATTCTTGTTCTCCTTCATATGATGTTGATATTCTTTTAGCTTGAGCATAATCATCTTTGAGTTTTTGGTTGAAATCCCAATTACTCATTATGAACTGAAAAAGTCTAAGTTCTTTGAGTTTTGTTTTTTTCAAATCATTTAAAATTACCTCAAATTAGTAGAAAATGGTAGTTTAAGACATTTCAAGAGAAAAATTGTTTAACAAACAATAAAGAAAGTATTGAATAAAGATACAAAGAAATAATTCCAATAAAGAAGATAAAAATACTTTTAAAAACAAATAGAAAACAAAATAATAATAAAAATATTTCTAAAAAATAAAAAACCCATAAAAACAATTTTACTAAAAGGTCAAATCTGATTTAATCAAGTTTTTGGAATCCAATTTCAACTGCTTTTTCTCTAAAGCATCTTCTACATAAATCAAGTCCATATTTTCTAATAAGACCTTTACGAGCTCCACATTTTCTGCAAGTTCTTGATCCATTTCCATAATTTCTAGGATGGGCATTATAAATTGAGTAGCTTCCCATTGCTTTTGACCTTTTATTAATTATTTTAAGTTTTCTTTAAAACTATCAACCCTTTTTTACTATTTTTTATTAATAAAAAATTAATAATTTACTATAAATTATTTGATAAATAAAATGAAAGAAAAAAATAACAAAGAAAGAAACACAATCAATTAAATGTAATAAGAAAAACCATTAATAATAATGTGGTTCAAATTTATCACAAATAACAGAATTAAAATACCGTTGTGCTTTTAATGAAAGTGGTTGATTTGTTTCATATAATTCATTTGTAAATTGTGTAGTAAAATTCTTTGCAATAGATTTGAACCTATCTCTATCTTGAATCTTACCATTATCATAAAATGGTTGTAGACAATTAACAACAAATTTTGATACAACACTTTTTAAGGTTATATATTCAGTTGGTGGGTGTTGTTCTCTTATTCGTTGTTCTTTCTTTCTATTTGCATATAATCCAATTAATGGATCATAAGCAGTATCTCCTTCTGCATACCCATATAGTTTTTCGAATTTATAAGACACTCCTGAACTTTGATGTTCTTGACTTCTTTTTAATTCAATATTTGAATTTTCAGGAATAATGACGGATTGTTGTTGTATTTGAACTGGTTGATTTAAAACCATTCCATTATTTGTTATTGGTTGCAGTGTTTGATTTATTGGTTGAATATAAGATGTAGTTCCATCAAATGGTTGATGATTTGTCATATAATTATTTTGTGTATTTTGGATATAATTTTGTTGTGAAACACTAGTTGATTGTTGTGAATTTGTAAGATTCATCACAGTAGAACTTAAAGTATTTTGAGAAGGAATAGAAAGACTGGACTGATATGATTGTGGAAGGGAATGAGTATTTGTTTCAGTAACTTCTTGTTTAATAGTTGGTTGTTCATTTACTGATTGTACAATAGACTCAGAAATAACTGGTGGAGGAGGTAATGGTTTATTATTATTTGGTTCCTCTTTTAATTTTTTTGACAATTTTTTAATATCAATGATATCTTCACTTTCGTCTATTTCTTTTTTTTCATTAATTTTTTTTTGATGAGTAATTTTGCTTTTATCTTTTGTTTGACGTGGTTTTCTTGGTGAGGGTTTTGATGTCTCTTCTTCTTCTTCTGACTCGACTGAAACCAAATTTTTCCGTGTTGTTTTCTTCTTTGACTTTCTTTCTTTATTCTCTTTTTTAATTTCTACTTCAAGTTCTTGTCGTTGATTTTCATGATTTGCTTGACGACGAGTAGTTCTTTTTGTTACTGGTTCTTCTATATGTTCTGGTTTTTCTTCTTCAGTGATACTATCACTTATATTTTCTACAACTTCAGTCTCTGTATCGCTGCTCATATATCTCTTTTTCTAGTTCTTCTTTTTTTCTCTTTTTTCACCCTTTTTTCTCATTTCTTGCTTTTTTAAAAAAGAAAATAAAATATATCGTAATATATAACACAAATTCAATATCATATTTCTATTGGCGTTGCTAATGGCTTTTGATGATCATAGAACTTACTCTTATTTGTTACTGCAAAATCATTTCTAAAATCATTTGCAAAATTAGTTAATATTGTATATTCATTAGTTTTTATCCAAATAGTAATTCTAGCTTGACTTCTCATAGAAAATGAAACACCATTAACAAGTTGATGTTGACTAAAAATTTCTCCAATACAATAACACAACTAAGTTATTAAAATATTTCTATTTTATTGTTGTCTTATCAATTGTAAATTAAAAATTACTTAGAAATACCAAACTAATTTACACCAAATTTGTTCAACTTGTTCTGTTTGTTCTTGTGTTTTAAGATCAAATGAAAAAACTAATCTTCCACCATTTTTATTTTCATCATCATTTTGACATGGTCTGATTTTATCTCGGAAAAAATGAGAGTCACTTCCTTTTAATACTGAAGTGATATTCGGAAAATCCTCATAAAATCCCCAGAAATTTTCTATTGTACAAATAGTTTGTATTTGTTCTCCAAAAGTTGTAATACTAGTTGATTTATCTGAAGTTTTTCCTGACTCAAACCAAAAAATCCATGGATTAGACAATGGATGTGTTATAGCCATAGGGTTGTATTTTATAGACTTGTATATTTTCCTTTTTTTCTTTTTCTGTTGAATTTATTTTTTTAACCCTATTAATAGGGTTTTTATTGACTATATTTAAGGAAATTATAAAGAAAAAAAGATAAGAAAAAATAAAAAATGATATTTACCTCAAATTAAAAAAGAAGAAAACAAAAATTTAATGGAAGAAACAACTCTTGATGTTGTTGGTTTTATAAATTTAATTAGTCAATTTATTGAGTTTGTTACATTAATTAATTAATCATAACCACTTAAAAGAAAATTAATCAAATTAATAGAAGTAATAATAAAGAAAAATATTATTCTGAAATGCTTGAAGAGTCAATATTATTATTAAAAACATTAAATACTGAAAGTATAAATGAAGTTTTAAAATTGTGTAAGACAGAATATTTGGTTTGGTAATGTTAATGATAAAAAGAGTATAAACTTAAACATAGACATATAGAACATTTCTTCAACAACAACTCATTAAAATGAAAGAGGCATATTTGAAGAAAAATACCCAAATAAATTCTTTAATTAATGAACTTCAACAAGAAACACAAAAATTTACTTCTGCTCTTCAGAAATGTAATAATTCAATAATGACAGAAGAAGTTGGACTATTTCCTGATGATGTTGCAAAATTACGTGATCAAATATTGGTTGATTTAGAAAATGTTGATTAATTAATATTCACTTTCAAATGAATTAGGTTTAATTAATGTGTTATAAACAATTCCTAAAAAAACAAAACATAAAAAGAAATGAATTAGAGATGGTCAGACTCAGTTACTTCTTCAGAGTTTTGAACAGTTTTAAAAGCAGACATAATTAAAGTATTTTGTTGTTTTCTTTGAAAAAGAAGTTCATCATTTTGATAAGTGTCAATTAGTCGTTGACGATCTTTTAACATTTTCATAGCACTTGTATAATTTTGGTTTTTAAGAAAGTTGTCAAATTCATTTTTATTTAAATTCATCAAAATAAAATAAAAAGAGATCTTTAATCAGAAAAGAATGAACTAAAAAAGTAAAACTAAAAAAAATTTAAAAAAGAAAGAATGAGTGATAGAAAAGGACAATCAAAATATTATTCACCTGATTTTGATCCTGAAGAACTTGAAAAATTTAATGAAAAATTAAGAAAACAAAGAAAAGGAAAAGGACCTAAATTACTTGATGTTCGTATGATGTTACCTATGTCAGTCAGATGTCAAGCATGTGGAGAATATATTTATAAAGGAAAAAAATTTAATTCAAAAAAAGAAACGGTTGAAGGAGAGACATATTGTGGAATAAAGATATATAGATTATATTTTAAATGTACAAGATGTAAAACAATATTTACTATTAAAACAGATCCAAAAAATTCTGATTATATTTGTGAAAGAAATGTTACAAAAAATGCTGAACCAAGAAAAGAAGAATTAAAACATTTAGAAGAAGAAAAAGAAAAAAGAAAAGAAGAAGAAGATGATGATATTATTAAGAAATTAGAAAATCAAAGTAAAGATACTATTAATGAATTACATCAATTAGAACTATTAGAAGATATGAAATTAACTCAAAAAAGAAATGAAAAAATTACTGTAGATGACTTACTTAAAAGAAAAAAAGATATTAAAAGTCAAAATAATAATTCTAAAGGTGATATTCAAATTCATGAAATTGAAAATGAATTAAATGATTGGAAATTAAAAAAACATTTAAATGAATCTTTTAAAGAAGATGATAAAAAAGAATTTATTAAAAAATCGGAAAAGAAAAAGAAATTAAGTTTTTTATAACAACAAAAAAAAAAAGAATTAAAGAAGAAGAAATGGTAAATATTATAAATGTTTTGTATGTTAATATCCATGATTTTCAAATTCTAATACTATTTGTTCCATCGTTATTCTTTCTTTAGGATTTTGGTTCCATCCTAAATTAATTAATTCCCAAAACCATTCTTCCATTGTTACTATCTTTGGTCTTCTTTTTCCATCTGCAATAAATGACGCAATATTCCAAATATATGGAAATTCTTTTTCAGGATAAACATCTCCCCAAATATAAGTTTCATACATTACAACAGCAAATGAAAATACATCAATTTTTTCATCATATCTTTTATTGTTTAAAAGGTCTGGTGCCATATAAATAGGTGTTCCAATTCCTTTTGTAAATGTCATATTACTTTGTGCTAATGTAATACTTCTTGATGATCCAAAATCAGTTAACTTGGCTCTAACAGGAGCTTCAAGATTTAAATCAAATAATAAAATATTATCACTTTTTACATCTCGATGAATGATATGATTGTTATGAAGATACATTAATCCTTTTGCACAATCACAAAGAATCTTTGCTCTTAATTTAAATGAAAATTTTTCACTTGGTTCATTACTTATCATACTTTTTAAACTTTTATATGGTGCAAATTCCATTACAATGGTTAGTCTTTTTGGATTAAAAACTGCTCCATAGAAATAAACTATTTGTGGACATCTAAATTTATCTAATAATTCAACTTCTTTATTAAATTCTGAAATACTTTCATCTGTTGTTGAAATTTTTAGTCTTTTAATTGCTACTGTATGACCTCTAAACATCCCTTTAAATACTGAACCAAATGTACCTTCTCCAATTTGTTTTTGTTCAATAATTTCATCTGGATCTAGTGAACAATCTAATTGAGTAAATAAATGAAGTTTAATTGGAATTACTATATCCGAGTGTTTTCTTTTAATAATAATTCCAAGTGTATGTGTAATACAACAACATATTAATGGCTTTATGAATATTGTAAATACAACTGCTTTCTTTGGTGGAATATCAGCACACTCAGGCTTATGACTAAAAGAACATTTTATATCATCAATTGGAGTAGCAAGATGAACTTCATAAGTTTTATATCTATTAAAATTACCAACAACTATATCAATTGAACTTGTATTACCAACTTCTAATTCATTATCACTTGTAATTGTAGTATAATTATAACGAATATCTTTATGATATTCATTATCATAAAATTCAACAGAAAACATTGATATTGGTTGTGGAATAACACCTTGTTTCTTATTAAAGTAATGAATAAAGTGAAGGTTTATAAAATAATAAACTAATAAAGCTGAGAGAATAATAATTATTAATATACATATTAATGGAACACCAATAATTAATCCATAATTTAAAGAACTCACACACTTCTCTCCTTTTGGATCTGGTTTATTCATTCCTTTGCATTTTGAACATTTAGAATCTATTGATTTAATACAATTGTCAATTGATTGATAATAAACGCAATTTATTCCATTTTGTAATACATATTCATTTTCACATTCTTTACAACGTGTTAATGTACATTCAATACAATGGCTATTACACTTTTTACATTCATTATTATCATTTAGATAATAACCATTTTCACAAACACTACATCCATTCTTTGTCTTCTCAGTACAATGAGTTAATTGATTATATGAATAACATAATGAATTCTTTAAATAAAAAGATTCTTTACATTCAAAACAATGTTCTTGATCATAACATGATGAACAATTTTTAGGACATTCATTGCATTCAAACCCTTGTTTTACAAATCCTTCTTTACATGACAAACATATCTTACTATTTTCAACACCAATAATTATATTACATTTATTCTTCAATTCTTCATTATTTTCACAAGTTCCATTTAAAAAGAAATGTGAAGAATCACATGTTGTACATTCAGTAGATGAAGGACCAGAACAATGTTTACATGAATTATGACATGCCTCACATTGTTTTGTTTGATAATTAAAATAATAAGAATCAATACAACGAGAACATCCACTCGAAGTATATGATAAACAATGTTCATATAAATCCATTTTTAATTCTTCTATATTGTTTTGAATACAATCACCATTTGCTCCAACATGATAATTTTCTATACAATCATTACATTTATTAGAACTTCTATCAAAATATTTACAATAATTATTTATTTTAAAATATTCATTTGTTATACCAAGAGTATTATTTATTTCACATTGTTCATATTCTAAGCACATCCCATTAATATTATTTGTATTTAAATCACACACAGTACATTTATTATTATCAATATCATATTTCCAACAATGTAAAGGTGCTAAAATACACTCATTTATATTATCTAAATAATATCCATTTTCACATTCAATACAATAATCTTCTTGATATATTTTACAATTGTTTATTGTTAATTCACATAAAATAATATCATTGTTTATTTTTTTATAATATCCTTTTGAACATTTATTACAACTAACTTGTTGTTTTGCATTTAAATAACAAAATTCACATCCTTCTGGACAAATTGTACATTCTCCATTATAATTATAATATCCATCATCACATTTTCTACATATACGTTGAATAAAATCATATGATTTACAATGAAGTAATGAACTACTAACACATTCTCCATGATATAATTCATAATTTGATGAACATAATGAACAATTTTTTATCCCATTTGAATCAATTGAACATTTATTACAATTTAATGGACAATCATCACAATTCCCATATGAATTAGAATTACTACATTCTAAACATCCATATATTTCATCTATAGATAAACAAAATGATTCAATATTTTCAAAATTCATTTTTTCACACTTTCCGTTATTAACAAAATATCCTATTTCACATTGAAGACATTGACTTTCTGAAATACATTGAATACAATGATATTCACAACGGGAACAAGTCATTCTTTGAGGATAATAACCTATTCCACACGTTTTACATTCATATTGATGTTTATCAGAGTTAATGAGATAATACTCCATACAAAATGTTGAAAATGAAAGTTCAGGTTTGAAATCATCAACTTCTATAAATTAATGCTTTAAACTGATTTTTTTCATTAATTTTGTTTGTAAAACAAAGAGAATAAACAAACGTTCACATATTATTAAACCCAAGTTAGTATCAATAAAAGAATAATACCCATCTTCACATATTGAACATCCTTGATAATTTGAACGTTGTAAAATATATATCTTACAATGAGGAATTGGGTGTTGAATAATTGAAAGACATTGTGCATTATTATTAAAATTGATAATATAATAATTATCTTCACATTGATAACAACTTCCAGAATCAAATATTTTACAATGATAATTATATTTAAAGGGTACACACATTCTATTTGGTGTTTTTGAAAATCCAGTCCAACATAATTGATGATTAGCACTACAACTTGTACATTGATCATTTTGACATTCATAATCATATCCTTTTAAGTCAAGACATTTTACATTTCCTGTTGTTGGATCATTTTGACTTGTATATCCATTTTCACAATGACAAGAATATGGAGTTCCAGTACATGATATACAATGTTCTTTACATACTGTTTCAAGATAACCTAGTAATTAATATTGAATGATGTTTATTATTTTTTTTTTCAAATAAAAAGAAATGAAAGTAGAAAACAAACTTTCACATTGTCCTGATGTTAAGTTAAATTCATATCCATTAGTACAACTTGAACAATAAGAATATTCAATAACACTACATGATGAATCAGGTATGTGACATGTATGTGTTAATTGATTAGGTACATAGGTAGGATCTTTACAAGTAGTGCAAAAAACACCATCTGCAGAAGTACATCCACTGAAGTTAGATAAATTAAGACACTGATGTGGATTTTCTATTGTTAG